TTTTGGTGAGGGTCGAGTTGCTTTTGGTGAGCCCAAAAACCTTGGTGAGCGCAACGGTCTGTGTCCATTGTCGATTTCTAGACATGGAACTCATGCATGTTGGCTTCGAAATGAACGTTGCGTGCGACGCATTCGGGCGCTGTGGTCTAAGTGACATGTTGCTCGTGTCTCTGAATCCCGCCGGAACTTTTTGACCTTGCTCCTGAATCCCGCCAGTACATGGGGGAAACAGTTTGGCAGTGCTCTTCAAATCACCAAAGCAGACGGGTAAAATCATGGTGGTCATGTCTCTGATCCAGTGGGGGCGGGCAGCATGTCGGCTGTGGTCCTGAATCCCACCAGTAAATTGGGGGAAGCATGACGAACGTCTCTGAAGGGGTATAGGGATGGGATGGGAAGGGTGTACAGGAGAATAGAACGGGGTTCTGGAAGGGCTGATGGAAGGGATTCTATAACGGGCTTACAGCAGGCTTTACGCAAGTGTTGCAAGAAGTTCGTAGAGAAGTTCATTTATAACCAAAACAAGTTTGTAGAAGAGTTTATGCAAGGGCTTAAGGGAGGATGAGCATATACATGGGCCCTGAAGTACCTATATAGGGACTACATTCAGGCCAATGTACATACTATTTGGGCACATGGGCCCTTAGGGGGGAAGTATCAAGCAGGGTTTCTAGACAAGAATTTAAGCAAGGTCTTGGGTGATTGGTGGGTGGATGGACGGATGGATGGAAGAATGAATGGATGCAAGCAAGGCTGACGATCTTCGGTGTGACTTCGCTGTACTGATCCTTTCGGGACAAGTGTTCATATCTTAGTTAAGTTTGCTTGTTTGTTGTTTCCGACGGGGTGACCAAAACAACGCTCAACCAAAACGGACTCCAAACCTTCTGCCTGCCACCTGCAGTGCACATTACAGCTTCGGGTAGGGTTTAGGTTTAGGGTCTAGAGTATGGGCTTCCTCTCTTCCTACTTGTCGTCACTGCTTTGGGTTCAGACCACTTGTCCCAATGAAGCGAACACGCGCGGGTGATGCCTGATTTATACTCGACGCAAAGGCCTGTTGCGACAATAGACGCATGGATTGCTGGAGTCTTACATGAACCCAATCTATCCTCAACTTGTCTTCCTTCTTTGACTTTCCTATATAATACTTCCTTGCAAAGGTGGACTGCTACCGGCTCACGGAAGGTTACCGTTGTTGAGTTGTAGTTAAGGTACCTTGCCTTGGGGGAAAGAGTCAAGCCAGTCCTTCTTCAGCCACCGCGACGTTCAGGATCACGTCCTGCGGCAAAGTCTCAATGCGAAGCGCGCACGACGGAGCTCTCTGGGAGTTCCGGATCTAGGGATCTAGGCTGAGGGATGATGGGAGGGACTCTGCAAGTTGTAGTTCGTGGGTTCTCTAAATTAGGGTCCCGGTTTAGATCCCTAGTGTACAGTACGGCACCCTTATAAAGGGGACCCGAGTTCATGGATTCTTTGCGGGTGACGTGAGGGCTCCTCAAGGCCATCATAGGGCTTAGGCTTAGGGTGTAGAGGGTGTATAAGGCATCACGTGCCGAATCGAATTCCCCAAAGCGAAACGAGGTAGAACTGAATAACAGCCCTCAGGGTTTCATACGGCTTGTTAGGCTTTGGGCTGGCGGCTGGAGTGTTGTAGGGTTCTTGTCTGTGGCTTGGGGCTTTGGGTTTCAGGGTTTTGGGGTTAACAAGTTTTCGGGCTGCAAGAGGCCGCTCTGGAGAATCAAACGTCCACACGTCGCACCAGAACACTGGGTTGTCAGATTAGGAGGTACCAGCCGCCGTGGGGTTCAAGGAGAACACAAGAGCGACCTTCACTTCGCCAGTGTTTGGCCATCGGGCTCTGCTGGGTTTAGGGTTCGGGGTCACGCACGAGCATCCCGTCCGGCGCGATGGTTTCGAGTGCGTGTGCAACCTCCGTCCAGCGGCGTGTGGGGTTTTTGCTCCTGGAGATATGCAAACGGGGAGCAGCATGCCGGACTTTCTTTACAATCCTAGGGGGATGCAATCCTGCTTTTCAGCTGTGATACTTTCAGATATCTGCGCCTTTTACCCTCCCACCAAAGACCTGCACCGCTCAAAGGACATGTTAGACTGTGGTTCGGTGGCTTAGGTTTTTGAGTCGTAGCTTGGACTTTCTGATAGATAGAGACAGAGAGGTTTGGAAGATTTCGGGGTGGGGGTTCTCCGAGAGGTTTGACTTCTGGATGGCAAGAACCGGAACTCGTGATCCCTGCAGACATGACTTTAGAATAACACCTAGGACCTAGAGCGCATGTTCTGCAGCATCCCACGGCACGAACATGAGGAGTACATCGGCAAACCTCTCCTAGAGCAACTCCACTGCACAATGCTTCGACATGACCTCCAACATTCACACGGAAACTGTGAGCCCGAACGGCTGAAACTTATCTGGAAGAATGGTCGAGTCTTGCGCAAACGTCCTGAGCTCCGCTGCCAAACTTGCGGACACCTCAGTACATGCGGGCATGCCCGGTGCATCTGGACTGCAACCAGAAACATCGACATGTCCCAGTTTTCAACGTTGACCTCAAAACTTGGGCCCGCCAACTTTGAAGCATCCAGGCAGCAACAACTCGAAGAGACGGGAGCAATTGTTCATCAAGCAGTTCAGCCATGGACAGCAGACTCGCCTGTAAATACCTCAAACTAGAACCTGACGTGTGTAGCGCTGGCCCTCGAAATTCGGTTGTGAAGCTCGGACCAGTTCAGCCAAGACACATTCTCAGGCACGCTGTTGCCAAACTCGGTGACGAGAATCGTCCGGAGTTCAGAGAAGCGCAAGGAGTCCAGCGCCTTTTTTGGTATCTGATTAGATCAAAGGCCACAGTCTACCGCAACAAAAACCAATCTGGGACCAAAGCTGCGCGCCATCGGCTTTGCTCTTTCTATACTCAGCAAACTTTGAGGCTCTGCATTGACTATTTCGACATGCCGTTCAACGAACCCATAGATGACAGCCAGAAAACATGTTGACTTCACAAATCCGTTGTCCTAGATCCTCCGGGACGTTTTGAGTCATGGGGCCCCAATCCAATCGTCCCCAAATGTTGGCCAAACTTCAGCCGAGATGCACGCCCTTCAGTTGGGGTTGAAGGTTTCGGGGGGTTAGAGTCAGGCTGCAATGAAATGTTACTGCACAAACTTTCTGCCGGGCACGGCACATCCCGAACCTATATACTATAAACCTTGCAAAGGCGAACACATATGCAACCGGAAAAAGTTAGTAGAGTCGTAGACACACATAAACATGTACATACATACTTACATACATACATACATACATACGTACATACATACATACATACATACATACATACATACATAATGTGAGCTCGTGATTAGTAA